CCGCCGCCGCCGCCGCCGCCGCCACAGCGGCCGCCGCCGCCAGGGCGCCAGCGCTGCTTTGTTTACCACCTGTCGGAAGGAGAAGGCGACGAGCAGACAGGCGGGGCCCGGTGGCAGGGACAGACGCGCCCTCTCCCGCCTCCCCTTCCGTACCTCCTCTGCGCAGGCGGGGGTCCGCGGCGCCCCCCGCGCGCCGCTCCATGACCAGTGTGGACGCGAGGCCTCCAGCGACGCCTGTGCAGCGCCCGGGCGCACTCACCTGGCGGCCCGCCCGGGGCTGAACGCCGCTGAGGCTGACCAGCCAGTGCTGGGCGCCTGACCCGCGCGGCCGCGCCGTGACCTACCTGGTGGCCCGAGGAGGCCTGGCCCTGGGAGCCAGCACGAGCGCCTGGCCTCGCAGGGCCTTGGGCGCTGCTCCTGTTACCCCGATGCCGGGCTGGGCTCCCCGTTCCACCCAATGCGTGTTGATGTCCTTACTGCACGTGCAAGAAGGGCAGGTCAGAAGGGCAGGTCGAGGCCCAAGGGGTGTGAAAACTAAAATTGGGGGGGCACACAGAGGAGCCCAACTTTACCAGGGAGTCCTGCTGCTTCCAGCAGAGCTTCCCACATAGTGGCCACAGGAAGTTGGCAGTCATTGTTTGTCTAAGCCAGGCCCTACCGGTGAACTGGAAGGTGATGGTGGTGCTGGGGAGGGACAGCCCTTGGAAACTTTGAGGCCACGGGAGGGTTTGGGGCCCTGAGCATTACAGAGCTGGGATGCTCACAAAGCAGGGAAGGGCATGTCCCCTGGAGAGTGGAGGGGCTGTAGGTGTCTGAACTTGAGGAGGCCTTGGAGGCTTTTGAAAGGGTGAGAGGGGGTGCCAGCCATTGAGGGGGGAGAAATGAGGCCCCTCCCAGGTGTGAAAATGAGGGGAGTGCCTGGTGCTATAGGCCCTGAGAGGGGACAGTGCTGCTATAGTTGAAGGAGAGAAGGCGAGCAGTTTGAGGTGGCCTGTGACCGCCACTCCGCTACTCCTAGAAGAAGAAACAGAGTCTGAGGGTCTCAGGCTCCTGCCCAGGGCCGGAAAGCCAGCTGAGAGCAGTGTGGGTCTCAGCTACCACCCCACCACCCACCACTCTCTTGGTCCTTGGACTGTGACTGTTTCAGTAGGGGCTCTGGAGGCACAGTATGGAGATGATAGAAATATATTAATTTGATAGTGCTAGAAAAGAGATTTGACTAAGTCTCTGAACAAGGAGGACTTTAAAAGGGGTAATGGTTTTAAAATCTAGAGTACATGGTTAAGCATGTACTCATGGCCTCTTTTAGATACTTCCATGAGGCATGTTATTACGGACATCTGCTCAAATTTAGGAATGGAATAGTGCTTAAACAGGGATTGCCTTAATCTGTTAATGCAGTGAAAATAATGGAGTAAATGACCTGAGATCATAAGTGGGACATTATTAAAAAGGATTTTGGTGTCAGTTCATGTAGGGAATATCTAAAATAAGATTGGTCATCACATTATATTAATTGACATTAATTACGATGGCATGAAATTAAGAGGGGATTGGTTTAAATTCATGAATTGGTGTAACTATGAAGATATGGGAATCATTAAAGATTGATTGCTTTCATATCAGATGAGGAATGAGAAAGGATTGTTGAGAGTGATCAAGTACAGAGATAACACATTTACTATGGGGACTAGATAAAGGTGGTAATAAACTGGGCCTGCAGCCAAAGGTGATAAATTAACTGGGCCTAGCATCAGGGGGCACAGCGATGAGTCACCCTTTGGAATGCCAACCTATAATCTATATGAGGCCCTTTTCCCCTATGGCGCTGGCAGTAGCTGCGGACCCCACAGTAGGGGCACTGTCTCAGCTGCTGCCCAGGAGCAATAAACTCTGCTTGCTCAGCCTTTCTGCCTCCCGTCTTTTTTCTTGAGGCCGGTCACAGAAGTCGGGACAAAACAAGGATATTCTATTCAACAATGTACTAGAGGTTTCCGCCAGTCAATAAGATAAGAAAAAATAAAAAACATAGATTGGCAAGAAAGAAGTACAACTATCTCTATTTCAGACAAGAAAAATGGAACCTCCAAAAATCTACTTGAATATACTAGTTTAGCAAAGTGTAGGACACAAGTTCAATAAGTAAAAATTATATTTGCCTGTAGGCAATAATCCATTAGATATAGAAATAAGAATAAACTATTTACAATATCATCAAAAAAGGAATATTGGGGATAAAGATGTGCAAGACCTGAAAACTTGGAAATGTTAAATATTGCTGAAATTAAATACCTTAAATGTTATGTATATTATGTTGAGGTTATAAGACTCAGTACTAAGACATCATTTTCCCCCAACTTAATCTATAGATTCATCTATCTCATTTCTGATAAAAATCCTTGCAGGTTTTTTTTTTTTTTGGGGGGGGGCTGGTAGAACTTGAGTAACAGTGCCCTCTCTGGTGGCACAACAGTTTAGGACACAGCACTGCAAGCTAGCCGCAGTGCTTCAGTGCAGTTCCATCCCCAGCACGGAGTGGACCCACATGGCGCAGCAGACCTCTCCTGACCTGCCCACTGCTCCCCTCAGCGGTGTACTTCATCTATCTGCCTGTCCTGCTCCCCACTCTGTCTCTGGTGAACCTCTCACCACCCTTGCATCTCTGGCCTGTACCCCAGTTCTGTATGCACAAATAAATAAAATCTTTTTTAAAAGATATGAACAGGAAGAACATACACAGATGGCCAATAAACACATCAACAATCCTCAATATCAGTAGTTATAAGGATAATGGTAGTTGAAATCATTGAGTTACCATTATACACATATTAGAATGGCAAAAATTAAAAAGTCTGACTATACCAATGATTGGTGAAGATGTAACAGAAATGGAACTCTCATTTATTGCTAATGGAAATGTTAAATAGAATAGCAGCTTTAGAAAACAGTTTGGTAGTATCTTGAGAAGTTACTTGCATACATGTGAGCCTGTCATTCCACTCCTGGTTATTTGCTTAAAGGAAGTGAAAGCATTTGTCTGCTGAAGGCCAGCTTCAGCTGAGGTAATGAGAGTCTCCAGCAGGAAAGGATGCCATTGGCTAAGGTGAGAGAGAGGGAGAGAAGGTGAGGGGAAAAAGGAAGAGAGGTAGGAAAATGAGGAGATGCAGACACATGTTTAGGGTGAAAACATCTTCTGCCAACTGTCCCAGCAGGTCTTTATTTATACATTACAAGCAAGCTGTGGGAGTACATCAGTGTGTGCATAAAGCAGAAAGATAGCAATCATCACATTTTTCTTAAAGACAGCTCGGGACTTTTTGATCTCTTATTGAGACTGTGATATTCATACACAAAATGTTCCTATAGTGACCAGTCGTTAATAAACAAATATTCCTATGGTGATCAGTTATCAGTAAACAAAATGTTTCTATGGTGATCAGTTAGCTATTACAACTTAAGCAATCATTTTGTTAATTTCTCAATGAACACACATCTTAAAGGTACAGGATCTAATGTTAAGGAACTAGGACTGAGAAAAACACCAACACTGAGTGCACTGACATTTCCCTGCCCCTAAGGAAAACCCCCTTTTTTGATTTACAAAAGGAGCTTCTATTAATCACTATTCCTGTAATTGTTTTGTCTACCTAGTCTCTAATCTAACATAAGAATTAGGGGGAAATTTCTTTCTTTATATGGTCACTGATTATCCTATTAATCTTATCTAAAAAAAAAACTTTCTATGTGAAAAGAGGTTGGGGTGAAAGTTAAAGGAAAGAGTAGGAAACATATTATTTATAAGTCTATTACTTAAAATAAAACTATGTTACTTAAAACTATAGATCTTTTATTGGATACTGGGTAGGAAATTATTACAACTTTTGGTTCCCAGAATTCTTGGACCGTGACATGTCTCTCGTTATTGTGGGACCTACATTTGTGCCAGCGCCTTCTCAAGCAGAGGAATATTAATTATTTTATAATGTACTGTGCCGTTGTGTGTACGATGCTATTGTTATTGAACCAATCAAGTAATTATTGATTTTATATTGAATGTATTATTTGGACAATTGCTGTGCTTCTTGGGAACAGCCAAGAACAAATCATACTTCTTGAAAATGACCATAAACAAGCAAAAAGAATCCAGCAGGAGCCAGCTGTGGAATATCCTGACTTTTCAGGATTTTTCTTCCCCACGTCAGGATCTTGTCATACAACGTGGGTAGCATGGCTGTTGCCATGTCTACAAAGTATTTGTATATATTAATGTTTGCAGTAGCTTTATTTGTTGTTATAACATGTCAGGCTGCCATAACAAAATGTCATAGGCTGCCGGTTTAACCAACAGAAATTCATTTTTCACAGACTAGAAAGTGGGAAGTCCAAGATCAGTGTCCCAGTCCAAGAATCTAGTTTGGTTCTCAGGCAAGGGCTCTCTTCCTAGCTTGCAAACAGCCACCTTGTCTCTGTACCTGAATACAAAAAGAGAGAGCCCTCCTCTTCTCTCCTAATAAGGTCACAATCAGAACTGAACCCCTCTTAGGCTCTTCTGCAGGCTCCTTCCTTCCTCCAGCAGAGGGTGCAGTAGGACCCAGAGGGACACTGGTGACTTGTGCATTGGTGGAAAAGCCTCCACACAAGGCCCCAAGGTGTATGCACCTGGTGTTGATATCATCATGAACCATCACTTGCAGGAAACCAGCTTTACAACTGAAGCCTGCAAGAAACACATCAAAGATGGCATGAAATCAGTTAAAGGCAAGTTGAAGAACACAAACCAGAAAGAGTAAAAACTTCTATGACAGAAACTACAGGACAAATCAAGCAAATTTCAAAAGTACCAGTTCTTTATTGGTGAAAACAGGAATCCAGATGGCATAGTTGCTCTGCCGGACAGCTGTGAGGATGGTGACCCCCAGATATGATTTTCTTTCAGGATGCTTTAGAAATGGAAAAATGTTAATAAATTTGGCAATTACTGTGGATTGATCACCTGTCACCATAACTGGCTGCTGTTTGTCATTTACATGACACCAGAATAGGACATTTTTTTAAATATAATAGTTATTTTTACATCATTTTGTACATTTTTTTTTCATCTCAATTGTAATCCCCATGAGTTTCCCATCACCGAGTCACCCATGTGCCAAGGACTGATGTCATCTTAAGCTTTCCATTTATTTTGACCTTGATTTATTTGGAGTGTAGCATTGTTTTTAAGAAAAACATCTTGTAGTTTGTC